CGGGAGTTAATAAAACGAAGTAGTTTTAGTAAAACAACGCAAGTTTTAGATCAGCCAATGACAGAACGGTGGGGAAGCTTACTTTTACGTCGAGTGCAACTTCAGTTTAGGTTAAACTTTGGATGGTTTTAGGAGCTAAAACAACGGGCAAAATATGTGAAAAGCACAATACGTACTACGGTACTGTACTGGAGTAGTAACGTTATCTATTTTTATAGCTATTCGAAGTTCCGGATGAATAGGTTTTATCCGGCAAAAAATAGCTTTTTCAGCAAGACGACAAATAGCTTCTATTCCAGTTTTTTGCCGGATACCATTCAGAAAAAGTTATAGTTATCCGGAATAACGAAGTTTCACCAGAATAGATATAGCTTTTAGCTCTGCGTGGTGGCGATGCTCTTACAGCTACTGTACAGTACAGTAGTACAGTATACTACTGTAGTACGGGACTATACTTCGAAGTAACAGTGAATTTGAAGTTAGTCACAATTTATGACAGAAAGTACTTTACATGATTTTGACATCGAATTGCTCTCTGACGGCTTATCTACGAACGTGCAGCGATATAGATATGGCAAACTTAGTTGCGAGCTACAGTATCGTTCAAGGCTAGAAATGTGGCGATTGCAACATTGTAGCGTGAGTGACGACGAGTCCTCAAATGAGCAAAAAAGCAAATATAACCTACTTCACATGTAAATAACTCGACGAATATAGCTCATAGTGATCTCTACGATCGTCATTATGTAGAGATCATGCTTGAAAACATGTGAACTTGCAATGTTAGTCTCAGGCTAATCGGTTTACTTTAGCTCGTGTTGTGTGACTTTGAAAGTGGCTTTCTTAAATACTTCGAAGTATAACATCCATGGCTTGTTTGCTATACTTGCTTCCAAATACAACGTCACATATGGTGCACGTCATCTATAAACTACCAACTTTTCACAAAATTTTCTGGCGGCTATTTCGTCTTCATTTCACAAAATTTATACAAATAGAGACGTGGAATCGACAGATCTCAATGTGGTGAAGAATTTCTACGTCTCAGATTCAAAATTGGTGATAAATTGGCGACGAAATAGATCATTAACCTAGTGGTGTTTTACATATGCGGGTGAAAATTTGGCCATAGGGGTGGCCGCTGAAATGCATCTTGACGTTTGTATGTGACTGGTATCCGTAGGTAGTATCCGGAATGTTTCCGCAGCTTTAACCTACCTCCTGAGGAATAAAACGCATGAAATCAGGGTTTAACGTATGAACGATTAAGGTTTAGCTACAATCTTAATACGTTAAACAATAAAATCTGCAGTCGTGGATTTGGCCAGTTGGAAGGTTTTAGTTGACGTGCACCATACATAACATAGTTATGGCGTGATATTTAAAAAACTTATTTTCACGCCTTGATAAAAATAGTGAAACGGGTTTCTTGTTTGGAAGGACAGTGCGCACCCATCAAGCAAGATACAAAAAAGTTGCGAAGCACAATCGTATGTATGCATGTAGTCTTGTCCCTGATAAG